CTCTCTCTCTCTCCCCATCATCAGCATTGCCTGCGAGGTGAGCATTGTCATCTAGGTCTCTCTAGTCTGATGACCTTTCCAATCAAATAACACATGCAGTCATAGCCAGAATTTCACCGCATCAACGTAATTGTGCTGCCAATGAAGCGATCACTTGTAATGGTGCACAAATGAACGAATAACCACAGACTGGCAGGTCATTTACTTATTGACATTTAGTAATGAAACAATTAAGAGGCAGACTGTTTCCACAAGGGGAGGTTAGCTAATGCGCAAACACAGCGTATCATTATAGCGGAAGCTTCTTGCCATTACATGCCCAGCCTTTTTTCTTTTTCTTTTTTTTTTTTGAGTGAATAAAATGTTTTGATGATACAGAAGATTTTAAATACATGTATATATAACATGTTTTGCTTGTAAAAAAAAAAATGTTGAGGCTTTGTAAATGTGTATAAACTTAAATAATAACAATCTTGAACTACATTTGGCTGCTTATTATAGCTTATAATGACAGTCAGAGAATCTACAATTACACACTCTTTGCCCTTGTTGATAATTTAATATACCTTTATAATGCTTTATACAAAGAATAATAAATTAATATCATCTGACATATGAAAGCCCATTAATTTCATAATAAGAGTCATAAATTAGTCAAATAAATGATCATTTAAAGTCTTATTAGTTACTTTATTACCCAAGAAGCAACATGGGACCATCATTCGGCAGGCCCACCACCTGCAGCGGAAGCCGTAACGGGCCAGTGCATCGTGGAACATGTGGTGGTTGAAGGTTAGGACCGCGATCACCCGATTGTTGGGTATCCTTGTGACCTGGCAGTCCAAAGACATGCGGTTCATGTGAATTGGGCAGGCTAAATTGTCCGTAGTGTATGAGTAAGTGTGTGAATGTGTGTGTGGATGTTCTCCAGAGATGGGTTGCGGCTGGAAGGGCATCCGCTGCGTAAAAATTTGCTAGATAAGTTAGCGGTTTATTCCGTTGTGATGACCCCGGATTAATAAAGGGACTAAGCCGACAAGAAAATGTATGAATGAATGAATGATGACAAGTGCAGTGACGGGATTTTTTTAACACCATGTGACAACGGTGCCACTCCCGCCTGCTGGTAGAAACAGGTACTGCTGATCAGCTGACTACCCTACACAAACGCTGCATTAAGTGGAATGCGCGTGATGTATGTGGTCATTTTAAGTATTTAGATAACAAAATATATGTTATACAACCTATTTTTATTTAAGTGCAACATATTCCAAAAGATCAGGGGGTTTTGACAATACATCAGGGGCTTAAGCCCCCCAAAGCCCACACCCCTGCCTCGCAACACCACTGGTACACAGTTGCCACATATGACTTTAAACTTGAATTTAGAAGCATTGCTATAACTTAAAAAAAACAGGTTAAGCACTCAATATAATCCCATAATTATTAAACTATTCATAATAAGTGTATTTTTGGAAAATACTAATTTTACAATGGAATTAGCCTAGCAAACTAATAAAATGTTCCTATTTTTTTTTTTTAGATTATATGATCCACGTCCCCTTTTTCATTATAAAAAAAATTAATAAAATAAATTAATAAAATTCCGAATCATTATGTTGAGCAACAGATAGTCAGTTATCCATCTAATATCAATCAGACTGACTGAATAAGCTTTAAATTTTCCTTTCTGCTTTATTTTGAGATTTTGGAGAGCATTTAGCATTCATATTTTAATAGGAAAAGTGTGATGGAAAGATCTATGACAATAACGCAGTCTGCTTTTTTCTTCTTCTTTTTGGTAACAATATGAAATATATATATATATATATATATATATATATATATATATATATATATATATATATATATATATATATATATATATACTGCATATTTGAGGGCTGCTCTCTTGATTTCATTTCCCATATAGCCCATGAATAATTCACCGGGATGAGCAAAGAATCAGTGTTTTTCTGTCTCGCTCGAATCCTTACAGTATATCTCTTTCCAGGCTTGTTTTCATATTGATACATTAAAATGCCATTTATCTTACATTTGCTTTAATCCATGTGAGTTGTGTTTACTGTAAATGTGTTAACTGTTAAATGATGGAAATCCCTTTGATATATTATCACTCAGTGTTCCAGTTGAACATTTTTTTTAATTAAAGCAATGCTTAATTTAGACATACTACAGTCAATTTGAACATGTCTGTATAATTTCCAAGGAAATAATCAAATGTTTGGATTATTGTCTGTTTGAAAAAATGGTTCATTCTACTCTTTTGAAAGCTAATTTAAATTTAATTTTGGTTTCACTTTAAAAAAAAAAAAATTTAATTACATTTTGTCATGTTACTCTGGACCTGTAATAATGATTTCATGCAATCGATATTTGATACCTTCTAGGTTTTTTCCACTGTGACTTTAATTGCATTTTGAACAACCCCTTCTTTTAATATCTCTCTTGTAATATGCAATTTTTTTCTTAACTGACATTTAACACCCTTCAAAATTAGGATGAAATTAGAAGGAGTAAAATACTGCTAATACTGTATACAGTACTTAGCATAATTGAGCACACTGCATTTTGAAAAATAATATTTCTCAGTGAATATAGGTCATATATTTTGGTGCATTTAAACAAAACTGGGTGAGGCAGTGGCGCAGTAGGTAGTGCTGTCGCCTCACAGCAAGAAGGTTGCTGGTTCGAACCTCGGTTCAGTTGGCGTTTCTGTGTGGAGTTTGCATGTTCTCCCTGCGTTCGCGTGGGTTTCCTCCGGGTGCTCCGGTTTCCCCCACAGTCCAAAGACATGCGGCACAGGTGAATTGGGTAGGCTAAATTGTCCGTAGTGTATGAGTGTGTGGATGATTCCCAGAGCTTGGTCGCAGCTGGAAGGGCATCCGCTGTGTAAAAACTTGCTGGATAAGTTGGTGGTTCATTCCGCTGTGGCGACCCCAGATTAATAAAAGGACTAAGCCGACAAGAAAATGAATGAATGAATAAACAAAACTGATTAATTAAACAGATATATTTATTAAAATAATATTTTAGTCATCAAACCTATTTAGAAAGGGAAAGACAACACAATTAAATGCAAGCAAATATTGCAAATATAAACTACGAAATGTTGCTTCTCTTGATTTTTTCTCTCTTTCTTAAAAAAAAAAATGTATTCAATATTTTTCTTTAAACATAAATTTGGTTGTACTAGTTTTTGGACCATTATTGTAAGTTATTTAGTTAGATAAGCACCAGATTTGGCTTCAGTACTGACTAATCTAATGCATATGCACAAATATATTATTGTATAGCTTCCTTTTATAAAGATTATATTATAAAGAGTTTAATAAAGAGATTTGTGAAGGGTGTAGTACATATGTTGAGCACTGCATGTGCAACTGTGAAACAGATCAAATGAAAACTGTAGAATTGTGTGTGAACTATGTGCTTGTGACTGTAAGGCTGTTGACTAATAAAGACTTTTACATATTTATGTATGTGTGATTATTTTTTATTAATTTTTTATTAGCAAATATTCTAAACAAATGTCTTTAATGTTTTCATTGTGGGATATTGTTTGTAGAATTTACAGAATAAAATAATTCAGTATTTTAATAAATAATATATAAACAATAAATAATTAACTCAGTTCATTTCGTAACAACAAAATGTGGAAGATGTGAAGCACTGTGCAGATTCAGTGTATAACATATTTTTTATACGTAATTTGTACAGAAATACATATTTCTATTTATCTAAACTATATTTTAGAATGCAATTCTTCTGCATATTTTTATTAAGATCTGTTATAATGGTCTCCGACATCATTTGATGATGAACATGGAGCCGTGTCGACAGGAGCAGTGATGTTTTACGATGCGTCCAAGCATTTATATCTGATTTAATTCAATTATTTGTCTCAAAATGCCACAAAGAAAACACGAAAAACTGTTTCCCTGCTACTCCTGCAGGCTGACCACCCATCACCTGTGTGCCCTTACATAAGCAGGTGAGCTGACGTGAAATGTAGATGGAGCTGATCTATATCACTGAACCACTGACACAGAATAATACAGCATTACTCAATAATCATATAACAAAAAACAAAAAAAAAAAAACTAAGTATGAACTAAATTAATATCACAAATGGCTCCAACATCTGTTTTTTAGATGTCCATTTACATATTATTGTTAGATAATAACAGTGAAATACATTTAAAAATGTTTATATGAATGTATATGAATAAAATAAACAAGTGTTTTATTTCAAAAATATATATTTTGTAATATGTTACATAAAATATATTTATTTTTTAATCCTCAAAGTGTCAGAATGTAAGTAGGATATATAAATAATAACATTATACATTAATGTAGCATATATACATAATAATAATAATAATAATAATAATAATAATAATAATAATAATAATAATAATAATAATAATAATAAATTATAATAATAAATTATATATGCTACATAAATGGTGTGACCACGAGGCTAAATAAAATATATATTTGATGTTATATTTTTTATGCTTTTAAAATCGAAAATGTTTAATAATGATAATAATAATAATAATAATAATAATAATAATAATAATAATAATAATAATAATAATAATAATAATAAATAGTAATAATAAAAAAATAATTCTACTACTACGACTACTACTAATAATAATAATTTACATATTCTAAACTAATTTTGCAACCATATAATATTTGCTATATTATATATAAAATGCTACTAAATGCTAAATATTTTTAAAATCGAAAAAGCATTATTATATTTTATATATTATTATTATATTATAATATATATATATATATATATATATATATATATATATATATATATATATATATATATATATATATATATATATATATTATATTATTCTTATTATTATTATTGTTATTATTTTTTTTTTTCCCAAACAGCTAGCTAAACCGATAGAGCCACTGAGAGGGCTAGAGCGCTTGGAGCTGTCAATCAGCAGCTCGAGGCTCCGCCCCTCCACACTAAACTCATCTGATAAAACACGGATAGCCGGAGGAATCAAAGACACCGATTACACCGCCGTCCCTTACCGCTGGAGCATCAGCACCGGTCCCGAAGCACACCTCCAACGCTCTCCTCACCAAAACACGAAAACACCAGCGACTGGAAGCGGTCGCGAGGAATATATTACTCTCCTAACAGAACAATGAACGCGCGCTGATTTCTCAGGTAAGCCGCGCGCCCGACTCTGTTATTATAGCAGCGATTTGTGAACGCAAACCTCAAATAACGATTGTTATGTTGCGAGGGGATGTTTATGTTTTCGAATGCTTGTTTTTTCCAGTAAGCCACATTCAAGCTCGCCGTCATTTACAGCACGCTGGACACAATGCTAGTACAAGACGCGATATGAAATGAACTGAGCGCGTGATCCAGCTGTGTTCAGTTCTGCAATGATGGCTGAACATCAGTGCGCTTTTGTTTGTAAAATTCGTCGTTGCGTTCAAAACACACACACACACACACATAGGGTTGAGTTCAGGGTGCTTTATAGCCCAGACCCTCTGCATCATTTGCTGTGCATGCTGAAGTTCAGTTCAATACCTTGAGGCAGCCCTGAAGTGCAGACTGATGATGGTATGGACAGGATATGCAAGACCTCCTTATCTGCCAGGTGAGCATGCAGGGCAGAACATGTGCTGACTGGATGATAGAGGTGAAGTTTGAGATTAGTATAGGCTCACTTACAGATTTCAGTCATGTTGGAGATCGATGTGCATACTGAAAATGTTCTAACAAATATTGCAAAAGCTAGGGATGGCCATACATTTGTAAATAAAATAAGAAAGGCTGTTTCCATATATGTTTCCTATAGACATTTATGTTACAGTTGGGGCTGATCTCTGAATGACAGTCCACACAGCGACATAAAATAAGTGTAAAAACTAGTTGCACTCAGAAAGTGTTAGTAAACATTATAATTAATAGAGCATTTGAGCAGGAAGTTTGGTAGAAGGAAAACAATGGAAAAAGTGGTGTTTTGTTATAGCTTTAAAAAAAAAAAAAAGTGTTCACAGTTGTCTCAAGCACTTCACAATCCTCCCAAGTTAATTTCCAAGTGAGTGAATTGTTTACTTTGTTAATAGAAGGCTACTATCACAAATGTATGTTTGGGATAATTTATGCAGCCTTTAGTAGTAGGTTAATTAATTTTTTACCCTTTAAGTGTTCCTCTACCAAACGGTTGACCATGTTTGACTGTTTTAAATAATTATTGTTAAAGTCATTAAAAGATTGACTCGTTTAAATGCTGATTTACGCTATACAGCATTGTTAAATGAGAATCTGAAATACTTTATGGCATACTTCAAAAAATAGAGATGTTTGAGTATTACATTCTTTTAAATTTTGAATGTATTACTTTTTTAAATAAATTGGTCTTACACTTCATATTTTCAGATTTTTCATAGTACATTAAATCCAGTACTTTTACAATAAACTAACATATCAACCATTTGGTAGAGGCTGATATTTTAGAAATTATGGGATGTGTTTAAAAACATGCATTGAATATGTTAACTAGCAATATTAGGTGGTTGAGAAGTACAATCCAAACATTTTTTTTTCTTGGTGGGGTAGTGTTAAAGTTAAAAGTTTTATGATTAGTTTAGTAATAGTTTTTTTTTAAGGTTTTGTAATTTAGTTTTTTGTAAAATGTATTGTTGTTTGAATATTTTTGGTTTGAAATGATTTCTTTGAATTGTAGTATTTTTATTTATCCTTAATCTTAAGTTTTTTAGTTAAACTTAGCACTATCGTGTACTTTAAACTTCATGACACTAGTTCGGTTGCATATGTTTGATCAACAGTTTGACAATTGCGCTTTATAGACCCCAATTTACATTTTAAATAACACATATACATACTATATATACACTACCGTTTAAAAGTTTGTGGTCGGTTTTATTTTTAATTTTTTTTTCATGTGTGTTTTTTTTTTTTTTTTTTAAAGAAATGTATTCTGTTCATCAAAAAGGAATTTAAAAAATGTAAAGAAAAAAGTATGAATATTTAAAAAAAAAATGTAAATAACTGCTTTATTGCATGTAGTTTCAAATGTAATTATTACTCTGGTCATTATTGCTTTTATTACTATTACTATTAATAATATTAATTAATTTATTAATATTTAATACTAATGATAATAACTGTATTGTTGATATTATTCTTATTCATATTCTTATTCTTATTCTTATTCTTATTATTATTATTATTAATAATAATAATAATAATTATTATTATTATTAATAATAATAATAATAATTATTATTATTTTTATTCTTATTATTATTATTATTATTATTATTATTATTATTATTATAGTAATTTCTGAAGGATATTGTGACTCTGAAGACTAAAGTAATGAGACTGAAAAATCTATTTTAAAACCACTGGAATAAATGTTTAAATTAAATTATAAACTACTTTTGAACAGTTATTTTATTGTCCAATAACATTTCACAATTTTACAAGTTGTTCTGTATTTTTGATTAAATAAAAGCACCCTTGAGGAGCAGAATAGGCTTATTTCAAAACATTTAAAACATCATATATAATATATATCATATATATCATATATATATATATATATATACACACACACACACACACTCATACATACATACATACATACATACATACATACATATACATATATATATATATATATATATATATATATATATATATATATATATATATATATATACCATTTGTACTGCTTTTAAAATGTCAATTATAAATGATTTTTATACATAAGTTAATCAAGCTGATTTAATTACTCAGTTTCATCTTTATTACTATTAACAGTTCTAATAACAATGACAAAACTAGACCCTTTTGAATTGATTTGATCAATTTAGTCCATTCCATACACAACTTTGGTGGGCATTGTGTCAACACTGCCACCTCTCTCTCTCTCTCTTTTTTTTTTTCTTAGTGGGTGAATCTAGGTGATTTTCCAGTATGACACGAACAACAAGCAGTGTGACAGACTCAATCCAGATCAAGTCGCAAGAACAATGGGACATTTTCTGGAGTAGGGAAAAATGTTTATAATGGGTGATAGTGTCTAGAGACTGTGAATGTGGTTCGCTGTGGCGCTGAAACTGCAGACACAAAAAGCCTACAACTCGCACCCCCTGCAGTCCAATGAGATGCTAAGTGATGTTTACAATAAACATAATCTATTGTTTATTGAAACATGCAGCCGTTTATTTCCAGGCATTCATTCTGCATGCGGTTTCTACTGATGATTTGTGTGGAAGGTGATTGAAAATGTGGTTAATCAGTAAAGGCTAAATGCCTTCTATGCTTGTTATGCATAATGTTAAAGGGATAGTTCACCCAAAAATCAAATTTGCTGTGCACGTATTCTTTGGACGTTTGAACGCTGAACAATATTTACAGCTGTATTACCTTTACTCCGTCTTGATAAACAATGAGCACATTCATAATCCTTAAATAAACATGAAAAAAAAAATCATCTGAATTGTCTAACAGGTCTGATAAATGTTTCAGACATGCACTTCATTGACCATCACTGCATCTTTGCAGCTTGTGATCAATTCTAGTGTCTGTTTGGGTTTTATGCTGTATGGATTGTAAGTAGGGTCAGTGGGACACTGATGGCTTTTAATAGTTTTCAGGTCAGAGGTCATTGCTTCTGTATGTTCGATATGTGTTTGCCCTCCTCATGTAACATGTTATAGCTTGCTGTTTCCATTGAAGACTTTGTCATAGGTCTGTAGTTTAGAGTTGTTGTGCATGATTGCTAGAAAAATGTTGCTAAATGGCTTTAACTGAATGATAAGCACTAATATGATCACAAGTTTTGCAATTTCAAAAGACTTGACAGTTATTAATTATATTGGTAATGTTATCAACTTGCAGTAAATTGTTGTAATGGAAGGTGTAGGCCTGTCGTGATGTCTATTTATTCAATGTATGATATATTGCACCAAAATATATTGTAATTTTAAGTTTTATAATAATAATTATAATTCCTTACATTTATATAGCTCTTTTCTGGCGACTCAAAGCGCTTGACACAACGGGGGGGTGGGGGGTCTCCTCATCCACCACCAGTGTGCAGCATCCACCATTTTGCGCCAGACCGCACACCACACACCAGCTGATTGGTGGAGAGGAGACAGTGATGAAGCCAATTGAATATGGGGATGGTAAGGAGGCCATGATGGACAGAGGCCAGTGGGCAGATTTGGCCAGGATGCCGGGGTTAAACCCTTACTCTTTTCGAAGGACATCCTGGGATTTTTAACGACCACAGAGAGTCGGGACCTCGGTTTAACGTCTCATCCGAAAGACGGCACTCACTGAGCAGTATAGCGTCCCCGTCACTATACTGGGGCATTAGGACCCACACAGACCGCAGGTTGGGCGCCCCCTGCTGGCCTCACTAACACCACTTCCGGCAGCAACCTAGCTTTCCCATGTGGTTTCCCATCCAGGTACTGACCGGGCGCAGCCCTGCTTAGCTTCAGTGAGTGACCATGTGAGAGTTGCAGAGAGCTAGTTGCCGGCATCTTTTTTTTTTATGTGACTCATTTTATAACACCAGAATGATAATATTATTAGAATGCTAGTACATAAAACTTTATTATTAAAAATATTTCATTAATTATAGTCATTTTAACTATTGAATAATCAGGCATTGGAATCAGAACATGAATGCATATCCTAAATAAATAATAAATGATAGCGAAAAAGAGTAGGGTAAAAAGTAACTGAGGCTGTGATATCTGGTGTCATATCTATCTTCGGCTGTCGAGCTCCCACAGGAAATATATAAAAAAAAATGCATAGTAAATACTAGTGTTTTTTTAACCATACTGACAACTCCAATAGAGATAGAGCTGTTGTGCAATCAGCTAAAATGTTGCTAGACTTGGTTTTTATGTATGAGAGATATAAAGTTGAAGTCAGAAGTTATTAGCCCCCTTTGAACTTTTTTCATTTTCCAAATGATGTTTAACAGAGCAAGGAAATTTTCACAGTATGTCTGACAATATTTTTTCTTCTGGAGAAAGTCTTATTTGCTTTATTTTGGCTAGAATAAATGCAGTTTTTAATTTTTTTAAACATCATTTTAGGGACAAAATTATTGTCTCCTTTAAGCAATTTTTTTCCGATATTCTACAAAAAACAAA